CATCTTTCTGATATTCTCTGCTTTTAGCCAAGATCCATCGGACATCAGCAATGATATCCCTTGTTCCATGGCCTCTTCTGAATCTGGCTTGAACCTCTGGAAGTTCTTTTGTTAATGTATGCTTACAGCCATTTCTGTAGCACCTTTAGTAAAACTTTACTCGCATGGGCCATACAAGGCCCTCGAAATCATTTGGCCTGACCCTGCTGAGGCAACTGTAGTTCCAGCTGTTAATTAAATGTTTGACCAAATATAGCAGGTTAATTTTGAAGTTGATAGTTTTGTATGGCCCGTGAATATTGTTATAAATTTTGGCAGCAAATAGGGTCCCCAGCCCTGCTCTAGAGCAATGGCAGTCAAAATGACAATGATAAGAGTGGACGTGCTGGGCACTAAGATGCTGGACACTTATAGTCTTTAAGTCTTTAAGACACACATAGTCTTTAGGGATGGATCCTAATATCTACCCGAAACTGCCCATGTCCTAAGTGCTGCTGTACAATACTTTCCAACCCACCCTCCTTTTTTTAGTGGTCTCATATATTTGTCTTTCTGTGATCAATTCATTCCACTCAGCATAATGGCCTCCTGGTTTATCTGTGCTATGAGGTGTTTCACAGATTTATTGCTGCTCTTTAACGTGTAGTATTTCATGGTATGTCTGTACCAGAGTTTGTTTATCCATTCTTCCACTGCTAGGCATTTAGGCTGTCTCCATCTTTTTGCTATTGTGAAGAGTGCTGCGAAGAACATGAATAGTGTATGTATCTATTTGTGTTTTCTAGGATATATGCCAAGTAGAGGGACTATTGGGTCATATTGTATTTCTATTTTCAACTTTTTGAGGAAGCGCCATACTGTTTTCCACAGTGGTTTTACCATTTATACAATTGCACTAGCAGTGTAAGAAGGCTCCAGTTTCTCCATACACTTACTTGCTAGCATTTGCTGTTTAATGTGTCTTTTTTTTTTTTTTTTAACTCTGCTATTAATATTTGGGTGAGATGATATCTCATTTTTGTTTTGATTTGCATCTTTCTAATGGAGTCCTTGTGTGGTGCTGTGGGTTAATGCGCTGGACTGCAAAGTCGACTGACCCACAAGGTCGGCAGTTCAAACTCACCAGCTGCTCCTCGGAAACCCTATACAGGGTCGTTATGGGTAGAAACCGACTCGACAGCACTTCATAACAACAACAACAGTGGCTACTGATCATGATAATTTCTTCATGTTTTTGGCCACTTGAATGTCTTCTTTGGTGAAGTGTCTTTTTATGTCCTGAGCCCATTTTAAAATTGAGCTACTGGGTTTTGTCTTTAACAAAACTAGTATTGTCTCTCTTTTAGAGAAGAGGAAACTGAGGCACAGAGATATTGAGTAACTTACAGTCCCACATCTGATAAATGGAAGATCTGGGATTAGAACCCAGGCCTAATGTTAATCCTATGCTCTTCGGTCCCTCTCCACGCCTTTTCCTGTTCCATGTTCACCCTAGGAAACCCTTCTAGGGTCCCTGATGGCTTCCTTCCTGGGACATAGTGCTTCTTCCTCCTCAGAGGCCTTTCTCATCAGAGATCTCACGTTGTCCTCATGAAAACTTAGGAAACCAAGGTCTGAGAGGTCAAATGAGTAGCCCAAAGGCATCCAGCCAGCAGGCAGCAGAGCAATAGTCAGGACTGGCACCATTCTTTCCATTTTACAACTAGGAAAACAGTCTCCTTGAGTTTTCATGGAATGCCTCACCTCTCGTAACTTCTGTGGAATTCTGTCTAAGAGATACTGCTTTATGCCACACTTTCCCCTCTCTTTCCTCACAGCCTGGCTCAAACCCCTCCACCTCCAGGAAGCCTTCCTGAATTTCCATTCCCTGCTTCTCCTCTGAGCCTGGAGCCTCATCTATACTTGGTCTTTCTCCGTATTTGCTAGTTCAGCTGCTCAGCTGTTTGGGAGCTGCTCCTTGTGGGCTGAGGACTCAGAGGCCACATGTCAGGTGAGACCGCTCTTCATCCCTACTTTGAGCCAGACCAGATGGTGGATGCACAAAGCTAGAGGATTCCTCCCCTCCCCGAAGCAGTGCAGAGTTCAGGATACAATGCGTCAACCAGGTGGGTCCTGTAAGAGCTGGAGCTTGGTCCTGTTTGTTCAGTGTGTCCCGGGATCCCCAGGGCCTTTTGGCTGGAGTTGGTAGTGAGGGGTTTGTTTCCTAACTTGGGTCCATGGCTCAGCTTGGTGAGGGTCTGCAAACCTGCTGTGAACACATTGGTTGCACCGGTTGGCTATCTTTCTGGGGAGATGCACACCTTCCATCAGAGTCTGAGGCCAGGAACGTTTGAGAAACTCTGCCTCACAGGAATCTCTAGATCCTTGTCCCAAAGGTAAAGTTAATTTGGATAAACCCTGACTCTTAGCAGGTCAGGTGTAACAGCCTGAAGGCGAAGGTGACCATGGATCACCCTGTCAAAGCCTGGAGATCACATGTGGTTGATCCCAGATGTCCTCAAGCAGAGGCCCTCTCCCCTCTTAAAGAGACCACATGCAGCCATTTTCAAATCCCTGAGCTAGAGTCACACTGCAGAGAAAGGATGCTTATTCGCAGCCCCCTGTGCCCACCTCTGCCCCAAACCCCACAGTACTAAGGAAGGAAAGGTAACAAGACTGACAGCGAGGGTAGCCCATCTGGGAAGAGGGATCCAGTCTCAGCAGTCTCTCGTGACTCAAGGAGGAGGAGCTCCTGGAGATGCTGGGCTCAACATGGGTATGGACACCCAGTCACCCCTAGACTGACCAGCACCCCCCAGGCCCACACTGAGGACCACAAAGCCACTTCCGTAAACACTGAGCTCAGCAAGTGTCCGCAGGGTTGCCCGGGGCAGGAGCTGGGATGCGAAGGCAGCAGATTGTGGTCTATACTAGGAGAGACGTTTTCACATACTTGTTCTGTTACTAATTAACAATGGCTGACATTTACTGAGTGCCTGCCCTATGCCCAGCCTACACCAGGCATTGTGTGATAGGTATTGGCCTATTTTCAAGAGAGAGAAACAGAGGGTTCAAGTACAGACTCTCTGAGGGGCATGAGGACACAGACTAACATTCATGTCTTTTAGGTTATGTAGGAGATCCTTTCCCGCATGACAGGGCAGTGTGAAGACATGGAGCCAAACTCTGCCGTTGGAGTTGAGCTAACTTTTTTTTTTTTTTTGCTACTGCCTGTGGCTTAGCTTTGGTCCTTTCCAGAGAAGCTCCTGGAAGCAGAAAGCCCTGCTCTCTGGTGATCCCTGACCTGCTCTCTGTGGCAATGGAAAGTCCACGTCCACCCACAGGGTGGCACAGATAAGGGTATCTGTCTCCCTGCTGTCTGTGTGCCCAGCAGCCCCAAGTCCCTGGCTAGAGTCTGGATTTGCAGGCAGGGCTGTTGACTGCACATGAGCAACACTGTGGTTCCATGGTCACACCCAGAAGAGCTGGTTGCTGGGACCTGGGGGCAGAGTGAAGGTGGGACAGCTGGATCCCTGAGAGCAGCCACTGGAGGTCGAATGGGGGCAGTACAGTTGGTGAACCTTGGAAAAGGCGGGGGAGGTGTGGGTCCACTGCAGCCCTGCCTTGGCCCCCACCTCCAAGGCAGGAGGCCTCCTATCCCACAGTGGACCCAAACTTTGAGGCTTTGGTGAGCTGCACCTTTCGGCAGCTTTGCAGAATGAAGCTTTGCCCCAGCTGTGTACCTCCAACCCACCTCCTTCTATCGGCTGGAGGTTTGGGTTAAACCCAACACCTGATGAGGAAAAATGGAAGCTCATTCCCTGGCCTCTCAGCTAGAACACGCTAGAATGACCCCACTGGCTCTTCAGTCTGCGTCTGAGGCAAAAACCAATTGTTCTTGATTGAGCTGACGCTTATTCATGGTGACCCCATATGTGTCAGAGTAGAACTGTGCTTCTTCATAGGGTTTTCAATGGATGATGTTTTGGAAGTAGATCACCAGGCCCCCCAAGGTTAAAGACCATATATTGACCGTGAGTCAACTCAAATCGGGGCTGTTGGCACTGTGACTCGGGGATCAGATGTCCCACACCTACCTTCGACAGGCGACGTCTTGAGGCGCCGACAGATGGCTTCAGTGTCCTCATAGGTCTCCTTGATCTTGACCACAGCCTCGGTGCCCCGCAGCTCCATGAGAGAGCGGAGCTCCTCCATTGTGCATCCAAACTCGCCCCCATGGCTCGACTCGTTTCTTTGGTTTTTGGAGTAAAAGTCGCTGTTGGTCATGTCACCCATGATTGCCACAGTCCCCGCTTGGGGTGAGCCCAAGGGTCAGTGCTGGTCACGAGGCAGCTGGGAGACAGCTCTAGTGGCTATTCTTAGCTCAACCTCACTGGATGATGGCGGCTCCTGGCCGCCAAGTCTGGGTCCTGGGTGTAGGGGTGGCCGAGGTGGGCTGGTAGCAGTGGTGCTGAGCTCCAAGGGGTGTCTCCAGGTGCAGGGTGAGGTCCAGGGGCCGGAGGGGCTCAGGACTGCAGACCCAGAAGTCTCCATTCAGCGGGGCCCATGCTGTCCCCCAGATCTACATGGTCAGGGGTGGTGGCTCCTGCAGGGGAAAGCACAGGGTGGTGGACAAGGGTCAGGCAGGTGCTCAGTGCACGCACACACATGCATGTGCACACATATGATAACATCCCAATGACACTCCCTTTAGACACATGTACCCTGGTGTTTCATACAACACCCCATAACACATGTGCACACAGCCGCCCAGGAACTCAACAACACACCACTTGAAAGGCACAACCTGATACGCCCGTATCACAACCCTTCAGTCTAATAGTGCGCTGTGCTGTGTCACACACATCCTGGGGTACATACACCCTCAGGCACACAGCTCAGGGTGTCCCCAACACCCAACCCACATACTTGTAGGCTTCTACGGATCCCCCCTCCCAGCCATGTCCACTCTGATGTCACCTACAGTGCCACACTCTGTCACTGTCCTACACATCCCCACATTTCTCTCAGTTTATCTGTTCTTATAGCCCCTCTGTGCACACACTCCCAATTCCCTCTTTCTCCCAATATGCTTACACAGGTCCCCACACCCACAACGTCTGGGACCCATATATCTGCCCTTCCTCCCGCCGCCCCTCGGTCTGTCTCTCCAGGCCCCACAAGATACTTTCTCCATTGATACCATGTATACCTGCCTACACAAACCCTCTCTATACACCCTCCCCACTCCCATCTTGCAGATGTGTGGGTGGGGTGGGAGTGGCTGGGAGAGAGCCATCCACCTCCACCCCTGGCACCAACCCCCACCTCCACCCCTGGCACCAACCCCCCAACCGAGCCAGAGGAACCAGCTTATGCCTATTCCTGTGGACATCACTAAGCCCAGAGCTGAGTCCCAGGAGAAGCTTGGTTGGTCCATGGGGCCCTCACCTGGGAGATTCCCCCCAACAACCAGCACCACGGACAGCAGCCGACACGTCCCCCTGACGAGCTCCGGAGCTGGAGCGAGCGGTTCTTTCTCCCTGCCCGCCTGGCCACCCTCACAGGAGCTGCCAGGAGAGAATCCAATCCACTCAGACACCCAACACCGTGGCTGGCCTGGCAAGCGTTGGGTGACAAAGGGCCCCTGCTGAGCTCGGCTGGGCCTGGCATGGGCACCAGCCCCGCCCCACAGCCTTGGACAGCTGACCATCCTATGCCTAGGGCAGAGAGGAGAAGGCAGTGGGGTGGAAGATGGGCTGAGTCCCTCCTTCAGCCTTAAATCCTCCCTCTTGCTTGCTCTCTCCTGCCCCAGCTTTTTTTCACAATCCTGTCCTCTCTCACAGGAAAAACTTTAGTTCTCACAAGGAATCTGAAGTCTAGAGCCACAGAGCAGGACAGCTGGGCAGTCCAGAAGCCCACTGGTCTCCTCTAGTCCAATGCTCTTTTCCCTCCCCCTAGGGGGCGCTCTCTCCTTTCTCTTGCAGAATGTAAGCTGATGGTGGAAGCTGTTGTTATTAAGTGTAATCAAGTTAGTTCCAACTCAAAACAACCTTGTATATAGTTTCTGAGGAGCTGTTGGTGAGTTCAAAGCACCGACCTTATGGTTTAGTTTTTATCCTACAGTGCCACACCAATACTCTGGATTATGCTAGACAGCAGTTAAGAACAAAGTATTTGGAACCAAGATGGGTCTGGGTTCAAATTAGAGCTCTCCTAAATCCTGGCTGTGAGATTCTGGGCAAGTCACTTCACTTTTAGGAGGTTCAGTTCCTTCATCTGTAAAATGGGGATAATAATGTTCACTCTCGGAGCAGTGAAACTATTGAGGTATGCACACCTTAGCATAATTATCCATTAGAGATCAACAGGGCAGCATTTGCCCAAGGATGATGTTCAGAAAGGTTAGGAAAGAAGGAGGAATGGAAACAGGAATAGGGAGGAAGTGGGGTTAAGTGATGCTCTATTGAAAGGATTGCACTTGATAAGATGAAACAAAACATATGTGGTTTGTTGGATGTAACATTGATGATCTGCTCTGGAAGCTTTCACTCAATTCACAGTAAAAAGTTAGAAAGAGAAATCCACTCTCCTCTGTCCCCATGTTACCACTAGATCCAAATCTAGTGTTTCCATCTAGAGGGTGGGGGGTCTTCCAGTCACATGTCCTCATGCTAGAGTCACAGAAGAGGCCTGCCATACCTTCCAGAAGGGGCAATGTTACTCACGCGTGCAGGATTGTTAGATGCACTGAGATGACCCCCAACACATGGGAACCCCATGCACAATGGAATGAAATGCTTCAACATCTCCGTAACTGGTTGAGGATTGGATGATTTTCAGAAGTAGATTTCCAGGCCTTCTAGTCTGTCTTAGGGAGTGCCTCTGAAATGTGTTCAGCATCATAGTTGTTGTTGTTAAGTGACATTAAGTGAGTTCTGACCTATACCAACCCTGTATAGAGTTTCTGAGGAGCAGCTGATGAGCTTGGACTGCCAATCTTGCAGTTCAAACTGACTTTGCAGTCCAGCTCATTTGCCCACAGAGTCACACCAGTACTCCAGCATCATTTGTTGTTGTTGTTAGGTGCCATCGAGTCGGTACCGACTCACAGCGACCTTATGCACAACAGATTGAAACACTGCCTGATCCTGGGCCAACCTCACAATCATCGCCACACTTGAGCCCATTGATGCTACCACTTTGCCAATCTATCTCACTGGGGGTCTTTCTCTTTTTCCTGACAAAACATGATATCTTTCTTTAGCGACTGGTCTCTCCTGACAATATGTCCAAGTATGAGAGAAGAAGATTGGCCATCCTGGCCTCCAAAGGGCACTCTGGCTGCACTTTTTCCAGCACAGATCTGTTTGTTATTTTGGCAGACCATGGTAGTGGTCTCCTCCAACACCATAACTCAAAAGCATCAATTCTTCTATGGTTTTCCTTATTCACCGTCCAGCTTTCGCATCCATATGAGGTTATTGAAAATACCATGGTCAGGTGCATCCTAGTCTTCAAGCTGACATCTTTGCTCTTCAACACTTTAAAAAAGTCTAGTGCAGCAGATTTGCCTAATGCAACACGTCATTTGATTTCTTGACTGCTGCTTCCATGAGTGTTAATGGTTGATCCAAGAAGAATGAAGTCCTTGACAACTTCAATCTTTTCTCCATTGATAAGAATATTGCTTATTGGTCCAGTGGTGAGGATTTTTGTTTTCTTTACATTGAGATGCAATCCATGCCATAGGCTGTGTTCTTTGATCTTCATCAGTGAATATTTTAAGTCTTCTTCACTTTCAGCAAGCAAGGTTGTATCATCTGCATATCGCAGGCTGTTAATGAGTCTTCCTCCAATCCTGATACCACGTTTTTCTTCAGAGAACCCAGCTTTTTGGATTATTTGCTCAGCATTCAGGTTTAATAAGTATGGTGAAAGAATATAACCTTGTCACACCCCCTTCTTAATTTTAAACCATTCAGTGTTCCCATGTTCTGTTTGAACAACTGCCTCTTGGTCCATGTACAGCATCATTGTAACACACAAACCTCCACCAACAGACAGGTGGTGGTTGCAGGTGAGCTACATTAGCCAGTAACTGAACCTGGGTTTCTTGCATGGAAGGAACTACCACTGCTCCCAAAGATGTGGTGGAGGTTGTGTGCTGTGGAGTTGGTTCCATCTCATGGTTTCCAAAGCTGTAAATCTTTACAGGAGCAGAAAGCCTCTAGGAACACAAGAGTTTCTTCCTAAGGAGCTAAGTGTTGTTGTGATGCTGGAAGTGAGGCCACTAATATTTCTATAGTGGACAGGTTTCAACAGAGCTTCCAAACTGAAAAAGACTAGGAAGAAAGACTTGGCAATCTATTTCCAAATATTAGTCAACAGAAACCCCATAGATTAAAAGAGAATGTTGTTGTTGTTCAGTGCCATCAAGTCAGTTCCAACCCACAGCGACCCTGTGTAGGGTTTCTGAGGAGCAGCTGAAGAGCTTGAACCACCAACCTTGCAGTTCAAATGGCTTTGCAGCCTGGTGCATTAACCCACAGTGACACACCAGGACTCCTATAACAGAATAGCATCCAATAAACTGCTGGAGATTTAAGTTAGAAGGCACTCAAAAAAAGCACAATGGCTGCAACAATGGTCTAAAATATGACAATTGAAGATAAGATGACACAAGCCTGAGCAGTATTTTGTTCTGTTGTACAAGGGGTCTCTATGAGTTGGAGTGGACTTAACAACAAACAACAGCAACAAATTATAATATACGTCATTACTGTGTGGAGATATACCACATTACTGTGTGGAGATATACCACAT